TTGTCTTTTTTGGAATTGAGAAGAATTGCCGCAGCCGCGAGCAGGTACAAAAACATCCTTCTACGCCGCATTCATAATTGGACGAGCTCAATTCGGCGCTGGATTTCAGGACTTAGCTTCATTGGTAGAGAAGAAGTTTGAAACCCTGACGAAGGAAAGGGAGTGCTGGGGAGGACTGTGTTGGATACTGGCGGTTGCTGATCTATCATGACCGTTTTGGCCATGCACATCGAGGGACCTCATTATAGCAACACGTCGTCCAGCTTTGCTTTTGTCGAGCTACAGGGAGTCAGACTGGGCCATGTGTGTCATGAGAGCCACATACACACACGTTGCACACGTACAACAGCGGTCAACTCACCACGATCGCCGCCGGCCTACGGATCGCCACCATCCCTACATAAGGTAGATAAACACGCGACCCCAGTAAACCGAGCCATCGATCTTGCATCACAGGATATGGACCCTAACCACGCACAACTACAAGACGATCATCTCGTATACCGCCCACCCCGACGAGATCAGGACAACGACAGTACGGCACCACAAAGCCCCGTTGCCCCAACCCCACAAGCTCCGCCAGCAAGCGTAGAGCCAACACAACCCGCTCCGACCACACTCGTAGAGCCACAACACCAAGCTCCGATCACCCCCGTAGAGCCAACACAACACGCTCCGACAACACCCGCTGAGCACCCACAAATGTCAAACCAGCAAGAAATGGCACCCGAAATGCCACAAGCCGACACAAGAATGCATGGACAGCTACCCCCACTCGCAAGCGACGGAACGAACTACAAGCTATGGACGCAAAACCTCCACGACATAGCAATAATCAACAACGTCGAGGCAGCCCTCGACGAAAACTCACCACCCCCCTCTGTAACGAGCCCGTACCGTTCCATATACCGCCGAAAATGTGCATTCCTACGCATGAGCATCATGACCAGCCTCCCAGCGGATCTGGCAAACACAATCGACATGGACCTCAGCGTTACCCCTCAACAGCTTCTGGCAGAGATCAAAACGTACTTCACTGACTCAACGCCAACCACACACCTCATCCTCAAATAAGAAGCACAACGCACAAAGATCAAGGCGGGAGGCGACCTCGATAAATACATCGCCGCACACCGAACGATACGGACAAATATGTGCCTCGCAGAGTACCCAAGCATTCAACATGATGAATCTGTCACGATAGAATTCATCATACACGGCCTCAACTTGCATCCGGCATTCCGACACCTACCCGACATGTGGATCGCAAACAACACAATCCCCACAACCATAGCCAACCTCGTCCAACGACTCAAATCCATACAAGCTCGAGAAGACGAAAAACAGGAAATCCGGCAACAACGTCCGCAAGGCATGAATACGACAGACCAATGGGCAGACAGCCCCAACGACCATGCAATGAGACGACGAACGCGCAGCCGGAGGCAAGGCAGAGGATCAACGACCCACCCCGATCCACCCCAACGCGGCAATGCAGCCACAAGGGAAAATGCGGAAAAATGGTACACGAATACTGACAAACACCGCACAACCCCCCGGCAAACACGTCCGACGCCCAAAACCACCACCGGGCAAATGGCCAGCACTCGCGACGAACACGAAAACACAACCGCGCAACAGGTGACCGACGAGGACATATGCGAAGGTAGGCAGTATGCCCTCGACTCAGGAGCGCACCCGTCACACGTCCGCAAACCCACGCCGAACATGAAACCACTCCAACAAATCATCCGAACTAACACGGCCACCAACATCACACCACCCGCCACACACAAGGGGATGATACATATACGGACCAGTACGAATAGGCACATACGAGTCCCAGCGATCGCCAACCCAGCAATGCGATCCAACCTGCATTCAGTACCCAACATAGCAGAGCAATGGGGAGAGGTTCGGTTCACACCCACACAGGCCACTGTACTCGACACGAGCACACACCCGCCACAAATAGTAGCGCAAGGGCGCTTCAGGAGAGGCATGTACTACCTGGATCTCCCAAAAACAAAAGGCAACGGCATGGCAGCTCGGACTATACCACCAAGGTCAATAAAAAATTCCAAAAACCCCAAGATCCAAACCAAAAAAGCCCCCAATCCAAAAACAAAAATGAAGACAGTGACGCCAAAGCCAAGCCGCACACCAGCACGTGGACACACCGCACCACGCGCAGAAAAAAACCCCACTACACAAAATGCACAACCCAGCGCCCCCACCGCACACCCCAGCACACCCAGCTGTAGAAAGGGACTTCCACCACTATCATGTACTGTTCAATCACATCAGACCGACAACGCTCCTGAAAATGGCCAAACTCGGCCTCCTGCCAAACCTCCCGCCCACACTCAGGCAACGACCACCGCGGATCACCTGCTCGAGCTGCGCTGCAGCGAAGCAGCAGCCCGCACCGCACTACCCCAAGACGCACAACTACCGAGTAGGAGCAGCCTTCAGCAGCGATATATGTGGACCATTCAACCCCACATCCAGGGAAGGCAACAAATACTTACTCACAGTCATAGACACCCGATCCCGCTACCTCATAGTCGACTTCCTGCAATCAAGAGCAGAAACCCCGCACAGGCTGGATGTCATCCTCACAGCACTCAAAAAACGAAAGGGGTGCAAACCGAGACTGTTCCACACAGACAACGCGAAAGAATATGTATCAGACAGCGCCAACGCCGTATACAGATCCCACAATGTCATGCACAGCACTACAGTCCCACACACGCCCCAACAAAACGGTATCGCGGAAAGGATAAACAGTACACTCATGAACTCAGCCAGAGCCGCCCTCCACCACAGCTCACTAACCAAGACGCACCGGGAAGACGCAGTAAGGGACGCTGCATTTAAGCACAACAATATACTCCACCACGGGATCAACACCCTTCCATACACCCTGTGGACCAATGCCACCCCCGACGTCCCGCAATTCCTGTTGTTCGGACAGCTCGGCACAGTACCTGAGTTAGCAAATCGGAAGCAAATATCAAAACTCGCACACAGGGCAACACCCGCCAGGTATCTCCACGGCATCGACGAAAACCACATAATGGTCCTCGAACTCGACACGAACAAACCGAGACGAGTTCGATGCGTCAACTTCCAACCATACTACAGCACCACCGATCCCGTAGATTCACGCACATACGCCACCAAAGCCTTCACCCCGCATCGCACGCCAACAGAGATAACAGGCACCACACCCGCTCCAGCTCACCCCGAACAAGCCAAAAAATACCCCGATGCTGCCGAATGGGAAAAAGCACACAATGCCGAACTCGACAACCTCGACGCCATGAATGTAGTACAGTGGATACCCGACTCCGAGATCCCCGAGAAACGGAGACTAATACCCCTAAAAATGGGATATCGTTACAAGAGGGACATCAAAGGAGAAATTGCATCGAGAAAAGCCCTATGCCCTGCAAGGGGGGACAAGATGCTACCACACAAGCACTACGACCCATCCAAAACTACAACGTACACGACCGACAAGACCACAGTACGCGCAATGTTCGGAATAGCGGCCAAGTACCGCATGCACATCGAACACATCGACATCAAGTCGGCGTACCTACACGAAAAATTTGCGCACAACGGAGGCGAAACAGTATATGTGAGACAGCACGCCAGATTCAACGGCACATACAAACACGCCTGCCAAGGCGGAAAGCTAAACATGAACATATACGGGACGCCATCCGCCGGCCACACATACCTATCTGCAGTCTTCACACTCCTACGAAAGGAAAACTTCAAGCAAAGCGAAGCAGACCTGTGCCTCTGGTCCAAAAAAACGGCAACGAACAAATAATTGCTGAAGTCAGCATGGATGACTTCACAGTACTCGCCTCAACCGCAAAACTCAAAGACGAGTTCGCCGCAGCCCTAGCAAAAGCGTATAACATCAAACGCCCAGGGGAACACAGGACCTTTCTCGGATGGACGGTGAGACGACACCAAAATGGAGACATTCACATCTCCCAGCCCAACGCCATCAACTACATAGTGCAGCAAGTGGACATGGCAAAATGAAATGCGAAAGACACCGCATACTGCGACGGTGTCCTGATCCACAAGCAACAGACAAAAGCCGAGACCCAACTACACACACTCAAAAAATACCAGCAGATCATTGGGGACCTACGCTATATCGCTGACCCGACACGACCAGACTTTTACTTCCTGGCAAACAGACTAGCAGTAGCGGCCAACAACCCGACGCAAAGGCACTGTAATGCACTCAAACGCCTGATACGGTACCTCAAGGGCACACCAAACACAGGCCTCACATTCCGAGCCGGCACGCAAGCAGACAAAGAGAAACCCTAGAACTTCCTTGTCTCGTATGCCGATGCCGATTTCGCCGCCGACATCACGGACCGGAAGTCCATATCGGGGACCCTCCACACATACAACGGCACACCGATCTGTTGGGGGTCCCTCAAGCAAAACATCACAGCCTTATCCACCTGTGAGGCAGAAGACATTGCGGCAACCTCCGCCGCACAGCAGACCACGTGGATCCGACGTCTGCTACAGGACGTGCACATGCTGCCGAAATCCCCGACCCCCCTGATGATAGACAACCAGTCCGCCATCCACGTTGCCAACAGCACGGGACCGACGAAGAGGCGAAAATTCATAGATCTGAGGCATCACTACCTCACGCATCAGGCTCAAAAGGGTACAATCGCCATTGCACATGTCCCCACGGACGAACAACTAGCGGACATCCTCACAAAACCGCTGCGCCGTCAAGCATACACGCGCCTCCTCCCCAAACTACCGCTCAGAAATCACACGACTGCAGACGGCAAAACTGCAGCGCCGTCGACAGGGGGAGTGTCATGAGAGCCATAAAAACAAACGTCGACGCCGCAACAGCAATGCGTCAGCAGTCATGAGAGCCATATGCACACACGTTGCACACGTACAACAGCGATCAACTCACCACGATCGCCGCCGGCCTACGGATCGCCACCATCCCTACATAAGGTAGATAGACACGCGACCCCAGTAAACCGAGCCATCGATCTTGCATCACAATGTGCATGCGCGAGGAGGCGTTGCTGTACCTTCCATGCTGCATGGATCTGCAGACCGTCCAGACTCTGTTCCATTTCCGAGTGGAACTATGGGATGGCATTACAGTAAAAACTACAGCAATGTGCTTCCGATTTTAGTGAAGAACTCAATAAAAACGGGGCGAGGGAAAGGAAAAACGAGTGGAAAGTCCTTTTTTACAGTAGGACTGGCCCTCAGGGCCATTCCATTCATCGTGATTGGCAATCATGCAATCATGCAATCACGCAATCACGCAATCACGACATTAATTTAACGTCGTTCTGCATCGTTCCTTTCTCCAACGTGTTCTACTTGTAGCTGTAAGCACATTTCCACCTTTGCATGTGCATGTGTTAACGCACTTCTTGCTTATTTGAATGGGGTTTAAATCTTTTAGAATTGCAAGGAGCATTACAGAAAGTTGGAGCACAAGATTAATTTTAAGTCGATTGTTTATTTCTTTAATGAGCATGACCATTTTTTAGGAAACGTAATATAAACAACCAACCACAAGGGAGCAGGCACCATTTATTGACGTGATTGCGTGATTGCGTGATTGCCAATCACGATGAATGGAATGGACCTCAGTGGGTCCATTTTGCTGCTCGAGTGCTAGAACGGACAGGAGAACTCGGGAGCGAATCTTGAATGCCGATGCTCTGTTCTTCTTTCTCGTTGGTCGCCCAGAAATGTTGAAAGCAATTATAGGTCGCTAGCTAGTATGAGAAAAGTAGATCTGGAGCGCACATCACAATATTCGAACCAGTAAGCTGTCTTGCTGCGCTTGGAGATTGCATATAAAGCAAAACACAGTTTAGATATTTTTTTGGATTTGTCCGTATTTCGGGTGGACTACGTGCTATTCGAGTGTTTGAACGGACAGGATAACTCGATGATTGCTTTGGGAGCGAATCTCGAATGCCGAACCTCCGATCTTCTTTCTTAATGGCGGCATAAATGTTGTGTTTTTTTTGCGTCAACCTGAAAAGAGCTCTGAAGCCGCTTCGCGAACAGGCCTACTCTGTACAGAAATGTTGAAAACATTCATAGAAACCTCTCATCAAAATATGATTGCTAGTATGAGAAAAAGCAGATCAGTGGCGAGAATTAAACATATTTACGATAGGTACTGTACACTTGTGCGGAACAATCACCTTTTCCCATCATGCTAGGGCCTAGGCAGTTGCTTGGCAGTATGCAGTAGAGTGCTCCTCCAGAGCAGGACCCCACAATCTGCGCAGAGCAAATTCTCACCACAGACAGATTCCATCTTTATCCATCTAGACCACACATGGTGTACACTAGCACCAGAGGCTGGACGCCGCCGCCGGCTCCGGACCCTTTCAAATCATCCTTCGCCCTCTCCCAGTGGAACACGGAAGATTCTTTGATGTGATCGCAATCCCAACGTATCCGCATTACGGCCACTCGCTTCACTCCGGCTGTTAACATTGCCTCTGTTTTATCATATTTTCCTCTCAATGTAGAGAGTTGCGATTTGCCTGTACTTTGTGTGTTTTACTGTTAAAATGAGTCTTTGTCTATACAAAACTCTTTGCGGGATCACAGGAACACTTCTTTCGTTGCGTCTTTTGAAAAAGAATTCGCCTACCACGCACACACCGCTCTATCGCAAATATCATATGAGCAAATCCTTGTCATAAAGAGTCTGCCTCAAAGGCCCTCAACTATAACCGTGGGGGGTGCGACCGCATCGCCATACTGCAAAGCCTCCTTGCCGTCAGATGGTTTATATCAAGGCAGACTTGAGCAATACTCAGCACTCGCTCAAAGAAACCCTGTGCATGAACACAGGCGTGATCATCTGTCGGATTGTTATCAGTTGCAGGATGCAACATGCTTCATCCTCGCATCAGCAATGTTCGCGTATTACAGCTAGAACTCAAACCTAGAAGGGGACCATAGCCCGCGACCCTGCTCTTCACTTCAAGACGCTTTTCCCCACATTCTCATATTCATTGTATTCGTATTCCAAATTCGGCAGCGTTTGCGTTAGCGTTATAAGCGGTATGTCCACCTTCGCCTGGACCTCAGTGTTGAGTCTCTGTCTTTTTCGTCTTCTCAGCCCTGCCATGGTCCATCACATTTGCAACTATCTACCGTCTGTCCGTGATTTTGTAAGTATGCTGTCCAGATCTTCCCCATTGGATGACATTGCATGGCTAGGGTGCTTAGCAACGATATGCTTCTTGAGGTGAGACCTAGTTTTGAACGTGACTTGGCAATATGGGCATTTAAAAGGCCTCAGTTGGTCGTGCACCATTCGGATATGTCTATCCCGTCCATCCCGAAAGGAAAATTGGGCCATGCATTGAGAGCAGGAGTGCGGTTTAACTTTCTCGTGCACAGTTCGAACCTGTCAGGAAGCATAGGAGGCGTGTAGAACAATTGCTGTCAGTGGGACCACCATCATTGACCCCGTCCGTCTCGTATCGACATCGTCACTTTTGAAGTCGTAAACAGACTTACGTGTTTGTTCAGGTTCGCATTCGAAGAAAAACTGGAATGGCACTTGCTGCAAATGTACGGTGTTGGTGCCGGTTTGCATTGCCTCTTGTGGGCACTGAGGGATGTCTTGGACTGAAAGACACGACCACAATTAGGACTTGCACATTTGAATTCAGGCCGGCTAGAGCCACTTTCTCCTCGGCTCGTGCTTGAATTCGCACGGCGTCCGGTCTTGCTCGATGAGCTAGAGGCGTCTTCGTTGAGAAGATCTTCAACCCGAACCCTTGTGTAGGAAGAGCTGCGAGATGGATAGGGCACATCGGATAATTTGGATGATACCTTAGATGGGTCGAAGCGTCCTCCACTCATGACAGTACTCGTGAAAGGGAATGAAAGAGCACTACCCCGGTAGCTTCGCGAGCGTTTTACCAGGAGCAGGAGCAGGTGCACTAGGTATGGGACGCGAGGGAAAGCAGAGGCAACGCGTCTGTATTGAAAACCCTTGAGGCAATTCGGGTTCCCCTCCGGAATCGTTACAAATATAGACGAGCGCGGTCAAGAGGGGTTATCAAGTTGCTTGAAACGCATTCCTGGAAACGTTATCAGCGATAGATATTTCCCCATTGGTGAAGTAGTGCAGACTTGCACAGATTGAAGATGTGAAAACGGAGGGCTGTCCTTTAGCTCTCGGGACGGGAAGCGCGGATCGTGGAAGTATGGATTTGAGGAACCGAGCATTACAGAGGAAGAGAGGGAAACGAGATAAGCAGTGGTGGACAGGTCGAGTGACTTAGTGGCATGACAAAAGACATCAGCTGACACGAGACTTTGAGGGGACGGATATAGACGAGTGGATTTTTAGGATATGAGACGTGTTCTCGAACTGCTAAAGCTTTACATGCAGATCTTAAAAAGGTGTCCCATGTGGCGCCTCGTCATATCTGAAGAGAGACAGAGTGTGGGAGAAAACACTACATGTCAAGAAAATGTGAGTGTCGTTGTTTACACTGTTTAGAGTAGCATTTAGTATCCTTGACATCCCCGGTAGGTCCCGAATGTGTTTACGTTGTCCTGAGTGAGGTTTTGTTGCCAAATTGCAAGGTATGGTGCAAAAGAACGGAAAGGGCGGTGGAAATACTGCGCTCAACAAGAAATGCCTTTAGCGTTTTCCTTCCTTTTGCAGCCTCAACAAATCAAGCGATACCCTTGTGTGTGTGTTGGATTGAACCAATTTTTTCAGAATTGTGAGGGGTGCAAACGCGAGAACTGGTGGATAAGAGACTGATCAAAGTGTTGAAAAACAAGCGGAAAATATGTTGCCGAAAACCATTTCGCGTTAATCCGTAGGTATGAGTGGAGGTGTCTGCAGGGGCCTATCAGCCGGCTTGTGGGGAGGGTTTCTAGAGACGCTATGAAGGTTTCTTGGCATATCAGGAACCTGGCGTAAGCTCCCCGCTTCCCCTGAATATTCCTCACATCAGTGAGGAATATTCAGGGGAAGCGGCGACAAATATAGAAATTATATCACAATGCTTTTTTTGTGTCCCGTGATATTGCCCTGTATTGGAACCGAAGCGGGAGTGAGGTGAAGTGTCATTAGACGAAACATGCAGGAGGAGTCTAAAACTTGAGCGGCGACACCTAACGACCGTGAGGAACTGAGGACAGCGACACGGTAGTATCCATGGTGTGTCAGTCCGCCAGGAACCGCATCATTAATACCGTCCCCGTGGGCTGACGAGATTCTCTAAGCATTCTCACATCCCTCTCCAAGCAGGTTCGGATGGGCGTCTTCTAGATTGCATCCTTCGAGGGGAGTAAGGAACGTCTCGATGCGATGCAGAAAGAAGAGCAATCTCGTTATCTGTTTCTCCGTTTGCAGGAAGCGAGTTTCTCTCACTCTCATGCCTTGCTGGTGAATGGCAAGTGGCCTCGTACAGTACAGTCGGGGGCCACTGTACAGTCAGCTCGCCATAACTGCAACACCTAGTGTCTATCCGACCAAGCGTTATCATAACATAAAAATCTGCGAATTTTATTTCTTTTCAACTTTGATGGCCACTGTTTCAATTTTTCTTTTGTAGATAGAACGCGTTATTTTCTTCCATTTGCCCACAACTCGCTGGACGTAAAGTAAACCCGAGTTTGAAAAATCCCACCACCAGTTTTGCGGACTGACCTCCAGCAAGGTACCTGCCCGCAACAAACGGGTGGGTGGCATATCGTTGTGCCGCCTGACGGATCACGTGCACCTGCGCAAATACTCGCTGAAGCGAATATTGTAGCTCGCCACAAGGATAGAAACGTTCTCAGTCGAAAGGGCGATCTGTTTCGTCTTCTTGACAGGCTGAGGGGGGCCGTTTAGAGAGGACTGCTTTTTAGAAGCTTCTACTTATCTGTCTTTCGCGGTTGCAAGGCGGCATCTCAGGCAGATCCTGTCGCGCTTTGATCCATTGATCGGCTTTGCGCAGATGAAGCGATGGGGGCGTCCATGGCGCATACCGCTGCGACCCGCTGCGACCCGTGCAGTCTGGGACTCGTTTGTGCTGATGAAAAGAACGGAAGACCCATTTCGTTTTTCTTCACGACGGGTCGATCCGGCACTGCTGTGATCAGGCGGATGTGAAACTCGTGGAAAACTCACGTGCCCGAGTTTTCGGTATGCTGTGAGTTTTGCCAAACGCGTTGTTTGAAATTTTTGCGTTCAGAAAATCCGAGCAAACTCGCCCCAAAAACACGCCTTTTCGTGACTTTACGGACAACGTTACCGGATTTAAAAAATTTGAAGTTAGAACCGAACAAGTGGGCTCCGTGCGCGCTTCGCGCGCCGAGCCAAGTCCGCGTAGAGGACCAATGGTGGGGAAGGGTGGCAATAGTTAGATGTAGAGATAATGGCTTTGTTTCATCAGACTCTCGAGTGAGAATAGTGACGTTGCTTGGGTGAGTCCTCGATAAGGCGACGTAGAGTTGACCGTGCGAGAAGCAGTGATCTCGTAGGTCGAGACCAATGCGGCCACCGAAGGATTGGCCTTGCGCTTTGTTCGTTGTAAGGGCGTAGCACGTCCGAATGGGAAACTGGGTTTGGGTAAAGCTAGGGAAGGGAAAGTTGTCGTCGCCCGGTCCGCAGGGCATTCGAGGAAGGCAGAGTTGGTTGCCTTCGTGAGACCCGGCCGTAACGCGTAGAAAGAGAAGGTTGTTGGTCATGTTCTCGATGAAATATCGCGCGCCGTTGACGTGACCGGTAGCGGGATCGAGATTGGGGAGAAGCATGACGATGAAGCCTTTCTTGAGCTTGAGCTTGCTGTCTGGTAGAGCAGACCCGGCTGTCAAGGTGTTGAGCATTTCTATGGGAGAGATCAGCGCGTTTTTGTTTTCGTTCTCGACCTTGTCTGCTCTTAACTACGTTCGATACGGTCCAGAAATCATGTTTTTGATGACTTCATTGACTTGTTCGAGCGGTCTGTTCTTTGTGGTGAGCATAACGCGCTTGGTAAGCCAGGCAGAGTCGGCGTAATTGTCTCGAATCCCTTGGAAGACCTTGAAGCATAAGTTGCAGATGGTGTGCACGAACGCGACGGACTGCGGTAGTGAGATCCATTCTAGGCGCTGTTCGCCTTGAAGTCTGCCTTCCCGACGCTGAAGAGGAACTCTGGAAAGTTGAGAGCCTCCACATCTGCTGCAAGGTCTGCTCGGAGATCAGCAAGGCGCATGTTGTCGGTAAGCCGCAGGAATCAGCACTCTCGATATAGCGGGGAAGCCTTGACGCACGCGCTCACGATTTGACCCCTGGACCCACCGGGAACGACAGGAAGGATTTGTCTAAAGTCCTTAGCGAGCACGAGGAACTTTCCTCCGAAGGGTTGATCGGTTTTCATCAAGTCGCGAAGGGAGCGATCGACAGTCTTAATGCAGTGTCCATGACACATGACGGTGTCGTCCCATATGATGAGATCGACTTGTTGCAATGTACGGCCTGTGTCGGAGTTTGTGGAGAAGCTGCAAGTGCTTTCGGCAGATACAGGAATGGGAATCTTGAACACGGAATGAGCGGTGCGTCCACCGTCGAGTAACACTGCAGCAACAGCAGACGTAGCGACAGCGATGACTTGCCTACGGCGCGAACGAAGGAAGTCTTGGATGGCGCTGAGCACGAATGTTTTGTCTGTTCCGCCAGGAGCATCGAGAAAGAAGAGACGACCACTTCGTGTTGGCATAGAAGGTCCCGCAACGGCGCTTGAGTATCCTTGAAGCAATGCAGAAACGGATACGCCTGGAAGCATGGAGCCTACGATTTCGTCAAAGGCATGGCGCTGATTTGTGTTCCACATCGGCAAAGACGTCTGTAGTCGCTGTTCCCACTGCTGTGCTTGTGCTTCGGGGGTCTGGATCTCGTGTTGCTGTTCCAAAGCGGGCAAGCTGTCATCGGGGAGTGGAAGTCCGAAGTTTGCGAGCGTCCAGTCGGAACGCACGGTCTGCAGGGCCTCTTACACCTCTCGAAGCACATAAGATGCGGCGTGATGATCATCGCGAAGCTGCTGTCTTCGAATGGGTTGTCCGCGTGCCCGATTGCGAATATCGGTGAGAAACATGTCCAAGTGTTCGTTCTACAGCGAGAGAAGATCCGAAGGCTGGCAGTGTGCGAGAATCGTAGCAGACAGATGAGAAAGAGGAACGAAGCTTGAGCGGAATGAATCTCAGATGGTGTGCTTCCACTCTGCATCGTCAGCAATCAAACCGAGTTGTAAGCAAGCTTGTCGAAAGCTGGTGCACTGGTCGCCGTCGATATTTCGCAAGGTTTCGAAGAATATTACCCCTGGCACTTGTGTAAGGAGGAGGCGAATGAAGTAGCACTCACCCTCCCTCGGACTGACAGTGTAGATTCGACCGACTACGTTGGCGCCTGTACCACTGAAATCAAAGGCATCCTCATCGCTGCTGGCGTTGCGTCTTCTCAGAGTTGCTCTTCGACTCCATGACTTGCTGCATTTCTTCCAGGTAAAGTACCTTGGAAACATGTGGTACTGAATATGCCTCGCACTTGGGTATTTTTCGTTGGCTTTAAACCACTCGGTCAGCTTCGTACCTGATGCTGGTCGTAGCGCCACCTCCTGCTCTCGTCCTTCCTCAATGTAAACCGTATGGTGGTCGGGCAGATGCACTGCAAGTCTGACCACTGGACGATTGCGATCGACAATGTCAAATGAGAAAAATCGCCATGCGGCCTCCGATGCCGAAACGTATCTTGCATCTTGGAAGTTGGTGATCTTTTCGTGGCATTCATTCTCAGCAGTGATTTCCATGGTCACTCGGTCCTGTCCCTTGCACACATACTTGAAGAGGTACTTGATTCCGCCAACACGTGACACGCAGAGTTCCACATTCAAATGGCAACCGAACGATCGTAGAAGCAGAGGACTGTGGGGAATGACCAAGGAATTGTCAACCACGACGGATTGCTGTCGTCGGCCAATACGGGAGGGTCGCTCGATGGAGACACCCCCAGCCGAGGGGGACCTTCTGCGGTACGTGATGTAGTACTCACTGGCGGACTGGCTGGTTTCGTGTTTGAACGATTTTGGAAACCCTTTCGTGCAGTACCGCTCGCCCATGCACACGGCTGTTGGATTTTGTTCTCCACATGGATTATGGATCATATGCTTGACCACGACCTCTCGGAGTTCTGGATCTTCGGCAGACGGGATCTCGGCAGAGATAATACGGTCGACATTTTCGGGAGTACGCAGATCATTCATGGAGACTTCATCTAGGAAAAACACGACGTGAGCGTGGGGAAGACCGCGTTTCTGAAATTGGATGACTCGTACATAGGCAACGACGGTTCCGAATACCTTTTCGTCGATGACCAAGGGCATGAGGTCTTTCATTTTGAGACGAAACACACGTGCGCACAGATCCGATCTGTCCTGTAGCGATTGGTTGGGCAGTAGGGCTCTTGTGATCTCCGGTCAGCTTGGATTACATGTCATGGTGAGGAAGATGTCCGGGTGGCCAATCTGGTTGGATATAGCAATGATGTTGTGCATCTGCTGCCTCATGTAGCGGTCACCCCCAATGTATGTAGAAGGGAGAATGAACAGTCGTCCTGCACGCACGGCGTCGGCTTCATTTTCAGCACGACCGGAGTCTACTAGTCTTTCGCACAGTGATGTGTAGTCCGCCGCTCGAAGCTGCGTCTGGTTGTGGCGGAGATACGAAAGCCTTTCTGCCTCCACTGTGCAGAACTGGTCAACCAAATATTGCTGAAAGAGTCGTGCTGCGTGCAAGATTGTGCTGAACTGGCTTGCTCTTTCGAACAAATGCCATCCGTAGTACATCATCGGAGTAATCTTAGTACGTCTGCCGTCTTGAACACTGGAGAATCGAAGCTCTGGATACCATCCATCTCTACCGTTCGGGAACAAAAGCACGTAACTCAATGGATCGTATGCACGATGACTGACTGAAATCGGATCCAGCACTTCGTTCCCGTTACTGTTAAGAGACCCTCGCCTGCGCACGACGATATCTCTTCGCCCAATCTCTCCATCCTCATTTCCAGGGATCAATGCAGCCACTTCAGAGGCTTCGGGACCATTGTAATGGCGCACGTGCTCATGACCTGGCCTGCGGTCGGCATGGATGACCATCTGGTACGCGGCTGGAGTGTTGTTGTGAGGAGATTGAGCCCATTCTCGCATACACAGAAATGTTTGCACGTAGGGGTTGCATTCGTGCAGCATTTGGGTCAGTTGCGTCATTAGTGCATCTTCCAGTCGTCTAGAGTTTCCAAGCCTTGTGCGCGTCTGAGTGGCGCAGTCAGTGTCGTGAATGTACACAGAAGCATAGGAAGGTGCCCGCCCCTAGGATGGCATCATGGGACCCATATAATGGTACTTCCGGCCCTGCATCGTCATTGTGGGGTTAAAGTTGGAAGTACCGGGCCCTCTGCTCACCCATTTGGCGACCACGGACGCCATGGACAGCGCTGCATTGTAAGCTCGAATGTTCTTACGGAAGCGGCGGGACCTTGCAGTATCATCGATGAGGATAGAGCGCAGAAGAGCTGACGGGTCGGGAAGAGGCGGCAGTGACAGCTTCCCCTTCCCACAGCACGTGGAAAACATGGGCCTTGCGGCAGAGCTGCTCAAGAGGCGTTCTTGGACGAAATGCAGAGCTTTGCAGTGCGAACACTCAATACGCATCATGCCGAGATCGCGGTACGAAGGCGGGGATTCGGGTAGTGGGGGGAAGAGCTGTCGAGAAGCACTTCGAGACTGTCGGTCGGATCTTTTCCTCTCATTCCGAGTGGGTGTGTCTTGCGCATCCCTTGATCATTGGGTGGAGAGGCAGTTAAAGTCTCGCCGCGCCTCACGAATAGGAGTACATTCCTCTCCTCTAGCGCCTCGTGTCGCAATGCGATCCGCTTCGCGCCGTGCATCTCGTAGGGGGGTTGTTTCTCCCGCTCTGCGCGCTCTTGATCTCTCCCTGCCTCGACGGAGACGCTCTTGGCGCTGCTCAGAAGTCTCTGCTGCTCTTCGTGCTACGGCACCCTCCCTGTCGGCTCGGCGACGCGCTTCAGTCTGAGATTCAGTTTGCTGCCCTCTCCGGATTCTCGCACAGGCTGGATCTGCCTCACGACCTGCTTCAGCGTCAGATTCGGACTCTCGCGCTCTTCTTTTTCTAGCACGGGCGTATTTTTGCTGCCTTCTTGCTTCTGCCACGTCTTCATCCGCTGGTCCCTCCATTTTTATTCTGCTCGACGCGCTAGTGTTATCCCTGTAAGTGCAGCTAGGGTTGACGCAAGTGCGAGAGGTCCGTTGCAGATCGCTATGAGTCGTAGCAAGCAGTCCTCGAAGGTCTAAACGCAACGTCAGCCAGCTAGGTCGTCCGCGAGTCCACTTAGCAAAAGAGTAACAATAGGGCCTTTATTGTCTTGTACTGTCCCGTGATTCAAACGAACCAAAAAAAGGAAATAGAAATAGAAATATGGTCCTACTATACACAGGGTATAGTATTAATACTCAGAGTACGACCACCTTGTGTATTTCTACTCCCAGGGAGCCCGGTATTAGAAAGAACCTCTTGCAAGGCCCTTCCCGCCGGGGTCGCTAAGTAAGCGCGCTCCCTTTTCCCTCAGTGCGGTGGCTAGGTTTCCCAAACCCTAACGGCACATACACTGTGTCTTCTTGCAGCCTCTATAGTCTGACGGAGGCTGCGTTTGATCTTAGTTGCCGACGTTGCAATAAGAACGTCAGTCCGACGTCCACAAATTGCTTTGTGGAGGCCGTTGTTCCGAGCCCGATACTGCAGCACCAAGAAATGGTGTGCTATCGGATTAGGCTATCTGCACAGCGGCAGACTGCCACGCGTTACTAAAAGCAAAGCGCAATAGACACCTAGGGACTATCCGGATGCCGTCAAGCAATCCGGTAAACTTTTCGCAGGGAATGCCGTATTCGACCCACCACTAAGCCGGCATAGAATTTCGATCGCTGCCTTGCCCAGACTCTGGTCACCACGCTACCAGGGAGCCGTCACGTGGTGAAAGTGTACTGAAAATTGTTGAAACCGCAACCCGGTACTGTGCTGCCAAAGTAGGGCTATATTAAAAACCCTTTCGATTCGTGCGCGCTCTCGCCTGGCCGCCACTTGTCGCCACACTTGTCGCCACTGGTCAACCGGTACCGTAGAGCGGCCGCACCCCGGTGTCCGCACAGTAATTTAATTTTTAATTTTACACTTGTCGCCACTTGTCACGTCTGTCTCTTCGGAAATGCGCTATGAAACGACACCAAGTGCTTGAGAATCTACAGAAAAGGCGCTCCATGGCATGGTTCTGCAGTGCTCTAGTCTTGAGAGCACTATCGCTGAATGAAAGTATTCGACTCCAATCACTGTTGCATTGGATGTCATGTACAGTGTAGCGCCCTTTCACTGTGGAGACTTTTCGGACAGCCCGATGAACTGGTGAGCGGATCATTACATGGAAACAGCCAACTGGTCATACCGCACTTTTGTCACTCGTATGCTACAGTATCGCTGTTTCCCAACAGAACCTCATCGTCTTGACTGGTTTAATTAGTAAACTTGGACATCCAGAATTACTAGCTCATATCCAGTAACACTGGACTTAGGTATTCCTTATGTCTAGTTCACGTGCAGTCAAACTAGCCTTAGACATCCACAATGTAAGTGTAAATGAATGTCCGGGTCTAGTCGGATGTTCACTTGACATTCAAAAAGTCAAGTTTTTCACGAGTAAATACTAGGGCCCGGACTAGACGTTTGAAAAGACCGCATTCATCTCCGAAGAAACAGATGCACCCGGTACTGTAGTGGGGCCGCGCCGGGCAGTCCTCCTGGTAAATTTAATTTTAATTTTTCCACTTGTCGCCACGCTGGCCCTCTCTACACGTGTTCCCGTGGCGGCCACTTGTCAGCCGGGGCGACCTGGCCTGCGGCCATGCCGCGCCCCGCCAGTGGCCGCCACTTGTCATGGCAGCGCCAATGCCAAGGCGGGAACCGACAGACGGACAGACACACAGACACACAGACATCGATTTCAGTAAGGGGGGATAAGAAGCACTCAACTCCATGCTTTCATGCTACAGGGGGGTTGGGCAATAGTGATGCTTGGAGCAGTGTCTCCCGCGCATTAGTGCTATGCAAAACGCCATGGCACGGTTACCATACTTCTGCTACTATAGTGTACTAAGCTACACGTGCATGAACACGTGTAGCTTCAGTACGCCTGATCACCGTAATTCTTTGCGATGCACGCATCGCGAGTCCTAGACGTTTCCGCGGAAAGAAAAAGGAAACAAAAAGAAAGGTTTCCATTGCAATTCCTGAAAATTGTTGAATACATTACGTATTGGGGTGTGACTGTACTGTATAAACCTTTTGGGCGGATTGGCGCCAAGACTTCGGTTCAACTTATGACCTGAACAGTACGCCACCCTGAGCTGTGACCATGGCCTGCGTATCGTCACTCTTCTCAATCGCGCGCAAGTACAATTCCGTAGCGCGAACTGCATTCGCCTCGACTCCCTCCGCACCATCTACCAGCAGATTGGCGAAAAGCACCATGGCACCAACATCGTCGTGTTCCTCAATCGCATCCACATACAGTTTCACAGTGCGCGGTGCGTCCCGCACAACACCGTCTCTTCCATCCGTTACTAAGATTGCTAGGTTTAACATAGCGTCGCAATCATGAGCCTTCTCGATGGCGTTCTCGACCAACTCCGCAGTGCGAGCTGAATTTGCCTCGACCCCCTCTGGGCCTTCCGTTAGCATTTTGCCGAGGTTGACCATTGCGCCGCTTTGACGGTGCCCCCCCTCAAAACTACCCTTCACCTGAAAGGGTGCACTTATTACACATGAGTCATTCGGACTCAGCTTCTGTCGGTCATCTTTCGGAAAATAATGAAAACGGACGAAGACGATGGTCATAAATCACACTGGACAATATGGTCATTACTTGTTCAACTCCCGAGCGCCCTCTCATTCGTGGCGTATTTACTGTTGGTAGATGTGTCTGTACTTAAGGAGACTAGCTCCTTTCTTCCCTTTACTCACACGGAACAACAACAAGAGGTATCGACATCAACATTAAACTGTCAAGTTTATTGGAAGCAATTGCCCCTCGAGGGACCTGCTACAGCTACATTTGCTGAAAACACACAGCGTCCCGATCGGCCCCACATTCGTGGAAGTTCAGGCTGTGCGCGCACGTGTTTTCTAACTACACTTCCCGTTCTCTGCACTTTACTCTCTACAATTTATCCGCGCGAACAATCGCGCGTAGACTGGATCATCACCCTTCAAGGGTAGCTTGTACCTATCATTAGTTTACCAATAGAAGCCCCGGAGAGCATGAAACAGGACGAGAAGGCGGCCTCCGTGCAGAGCAGCCTCGCCAGTCGTCAACATGCCAACGACGGCAACACCCTGTTCAGGCTGGGAAACCTAGCGAGGGACGCACGGGATGGAGTAGAAAAGGATGTCGCAGGCGCTGTGAAGCTGTACGAGGCCGCCATCTTCCGCTGTTCCCCTCGCAAGACGTACATGTCCTCCCCTTGCCATGCTCGGTGTGCTTTTCACCCAACACGCGCTCTTATTCCCTGGCACACCTCTCAACCGACACCTTTTCTCTCTCCGGTTTCCCAAAGCCTTTCTCTCCTCGCAAACCTATTCGCCGTCTCACAAATGCCTCTTTTTCGGCACCCCCGGCAACCTCGGAAACACCCATAGCGATGCCATCGCATTTCTTACGGCTATAATACACTTCTTTCTTCCATCAATCTCTTCCGCCTCTTCCCCCTGCCCCTGCATCCACTCCGACCGCCACCCCTCGCGCAGACATTCCAGCTTCCCGCCCAAGAGCGGGAGCTCGGTCGCACGTAAGACGGAAAATTCCATCTTGTAAAACTCGATTTTCGGTCGCGTAGGGGGCGGGCATGGCCGAAAGATTGGCACTTCGACGTCTCCGGGCTTGGCTCCGATGCCGATAAGGACGCATCCACGGAAGGCGACGCCTTTGTCGTAGGGATCTGCCGGCCCTTCAGGCATGCCATCAAAGTTGTAGTACCGCGGCTTCATCAACGCAACTTCACGCACGCGATCTTCAAAGTCTTGGCCATCGGCGGGGTCCCCGCAAATGACGGAAGTGGTCATATTCTGGAACAGCTCTTCAAAGGAGACGTTGATTTGGCCGATGGGTTGGTACTCGCGGAAGGGGTCTTGCAGTCACTCG